CTGTGGTGGCCAAATACTAAGGCAGGACTTCCATCAGACCCTCTCTCGCTCTCATTATAATCTCCTTCCTTCCTTTTCTTCTTTTTCCTCCCCTCTTCATCTGCCTCTCTTCTTCCTTCCCCTCTTTCCTTATGTTTCCTTCCTTGCTCTCTTCCCACCTTCCCTTTTTTTCTTTCCCTTTCCTCTTTTCCTTTCTCCTTTCCTGTCCCTTTTTGCATGCTCAAATGCAAAAGGGGAAACATTTCTCCTTTTGTTTTCTTTTTAGTTTGTTCTGCTCGCCTCTGCCAGCGGAAATGGAGCCTGGGGTGTGTGTGTGTAGCCCCCCTGGGCCCTGGTTTTGGCCACGACGGCCTCCTGCAGCCCTCTGGCAGCAAAAACAGACCTCGGGGGGGGGGGGACACACGTGTAGCCCTCCCAAGTTCCCCTTTTGCTGACAGAAGCACTGCAGGCTGGTCCTTTGCTGTTTCCAGGATGGCCCCACGGGCCAGATCTAAGCACCCCACAGGCTGGATCTGGCCAGCTGTCAGCTGGTGCTCCGTTCAAAATCCAAGAAAGAAATACTTAGACTCCATTAATCAGAGAAAAGGTATCTTTTACTGGAAATCAAGTGGTAGCAACAAAAGAAGTCTGAATCTGAGAAAAATGGGCGCGTAAATCACATATACAAAGTAATGGCAACATTCCCACCCCCAATAGTTCAATTGGCTCATCCAATTAAAAGTGGTGTATATCATCATGTGGGCATCTCCAGGTGGTGATGAGGCCTCTGTCCGTTGACCTTGACATATTTTGATAAAGAGTTGCAGCTGCGCATAGCATAGGATAGAAGCCTAAGCAAGAATCTACCCCCCCCAGCTTATACAGTTCTGGTTTGTAACACCTCCAGCTCACTTCCCATAACTATTCCCCCCTCCTCCCCCACTTACTTATGACATCCGAAAGATGCAAAGCAAAGGGAGAAAATCTTGAAGGCTGACACCCGCAGGCCTTGAGTTTGACACCCCTGATATAGATGGTTCTTTACCTCCATCCATGCTCCTTGCATTTCCTGATGCTCGGTATAAAAAATAGTTTGGTTTTTTTTTTAAAAAAGAGTCCAAATGCCGGTCATCCTCAACTTACAACAGTTCATGTAATGATGGTTCAACATTACAATGGCGCTGACATTTTTTTGCTTATGACCATGTTTCACACTTAAGACCATTGCAGCATCCCTATTGTTTAGGGATTTACATTCAGATGCTTGACAGCTGGTTCATGTTTATGACGGTTGCAGCATCTCTTGAGTCATGTGATCCCCTTTTGCACCCTTCCCCATTTGCAAAGTCCGTCGGGAAGCCGGATTCACTTAATAACCATGTTCCTAATTTAAGAACTGCAGGGATTCACTTAACAAAAGTGTCGAGAATAGTCTTTGGCTGCAGAAAATTCAGTCCAAAACAAGGTACACACAAACTGTAACTTAAAATCCAAACAAACCAAACTGAAGTAATTAGTTTGAGAGGGCAAGAGCAGAAATTTCAAACTTGAGAGCACAGCAAAACTCACACAGTTGGGAAGATGCCAGGAACACAGATAAGCCACGATGATACAAGGTAAAGTCACATTTGCTCCCAACAGCTTGCTGCACGCAGCTTGCCTTTTTTATACACTGTGTTCCCAGCTGCAGCTAATGAAGGGAATCAGGGCCCCTTCCTCCCCCGTAAGCCACGCAGCCCACGTTGCTCTCTTCTCTGTTCCTCCCTGCGTGCCCTAGGATGAAAAGGGGGTGGGCCTGTGTCTTCCTCTGAATTCCCTCTCCCTTGTTCTACCTCTCCCTTGTTCTACCTCTTCCCTGCTCTGCCCAGTGGGACTTTGCCCTGCCCCAGTTTCTTCCCCAGCCAACGGAGCCACACTCCCACTCCCTGTCAGCTGTTCAGCTTCCTCCTCCAAGTCAGATTCCGACAGGGGCATGACAAATACACACATGGCTGTAAAAAATGATAAAGCAACATATAGATTTGAAACCTGAAATATTTTTATTAGGGGTGTTAGGGATGGTACCAGAAGATTACAGCAAAGAAGAAATATACTTAATTATTCGTGTATTAACAGCAGCTAGGATTGTATTTACTCAGAATTGGAAATGTGATAAGGTACCGGCAGAAGGAAAAGTAATTAAGAAAATATTTGAATGTGCAGAGATAAATAGATTAACACTGGCAATTAAAGAAAAAGAAGAAACAACATATTATGGTGTGGGATCTATTTTATCAATGGCTGGGAAACAAAACAAGTTAAAATGGAGTAGATGAATATATAGAGAAATAAGTTAAGATTGTTATAAAGATAATAGACATAAGAAATAGTGGTTATATAAGAAAATGTGATTATTGTTATATTGGTAAGAAAAGTATTAATGATAATTGTTTGCACAAGATATATGTACCCAGTTGACACACTGTTGAAATGAAAAATGGATTTATTGTAAATATAAAATAAAAAACATTACAAGAAAGAAAGAAAGAAAGAAAGAAAGAAAGAAAGAAAGAAAGAAAG